AGATAGATAGATAGATAGATAGATAGATAGATAGATAGATAGATAGATAGATAGATAGATAGATAGATAGATAGATAGATAGATAGATAGATAGATAGATAGATAGATAGATAGATAGATAGATAGATAGATAGATGATAGATAGATAGATAGATAGATAGATAGATAGATAGATAGATAGATAGATAGATAGATAGATAGATCGATAGAAAGATAGATAGATAGATAGATAGATAGATAGATAGATAGATAGATAGATAGATAGATAGATAGATAGATAGATAGATAGATAGATAGATAGATAGATAGATAGATAGATAGATAGATAGATAGATAGATAGATAGATAGATAGATAGATAGATAGATAGATAGATAGACAGATAGATAGATATATAGATAGATATATAGATAGATAGATAGATAGATAGATAGATAGATAGATAGATAGATAGATAGATAGATAGATAGATAGATAGATAGATAGATAGATAGATAGATAGATAGATAGATAGATAGATAGATAGATAGATAGATAGATAGATAGATAAATAAATAGATAGATAGATAGATAGATAGATAGATAGATAGATAGATAGATAGATAGATAGATAGATTTCTTAAAAGTAATGTAATAAAATAATTTTCCACTTCTCAATCAGCGTTGTTAACATACGACATACAACAATACAACACACTTCACCGGTTGTGAAAATATACATACATATATGTACATTATGGTGCTGAGGGTAAGTATATAAGAATTCGGCACAGACGAATACTTATTATATTTAATGTGTTTTGTACATTTACACTTGAATTATTTTATTACTTCTTTGTCTAGGCTTGATTTACCAATAATTAATGACATTTTGTGGTAAATAAATGGATTGGAATTGTTTTGATAATTTTATACAAATAAACAAATAAATATAAATATTATAAATTTTAATCTTAAGATTTTGTTCTGTGGTAGGTCTAAAAATCTTATGCTATTATATACAAAATAACAAAAATCTTAAGCATAATGATATAAACAAAGTTTTGAAATTTCACTACATCTTAGAACTTGAAATCAATTATTATTTTTAATCCCTCAGTTTACATATTATTCTAAACAATATTAATGCATTTCTTTGTATTTCTTAACACTTACAGGTTGATGGTCAGAAATACTTGGGACAGGGACGTAGTAAAAAAATTGCCCGCATAGAGGCTGCTGCTACTGCTCTACGCAGTTTTATACAATTCAAAGATGGTGCTGTTTTGACTCCGCTGAAACCGGCCTGTAATCTGGACTTTACCAGTGATGAACATTTGGATAATGGTACTTTAACAACAGTAACTTCTACTACCGAAACACAATCCAATACCACTACTCCTAGTTGCAATAATAATAATAAAAATATAAACCCTAACGTCACATCTACCCTAGATGTTGAGGCATTAACACAGAGTGAATTGGTTGAGCTTGTTGACAATTGGTTGAAGCATGTTAAACATGCCGCTAAACATAAAATCACCCAAAGCGAAGATTTAATGTTTCAGAAATTTGTATTGAGCATGAAGTCAAGCAAGTATTTGTTTTGTTCATTTTTTTTTTGTTTGTGTTTCTTTTTTATTACAGTAGTTTTCCGATTTAACGAACCCATATGTTGTCAGGCCTGTTCGTAAAATTGAAAAGTTCGTTATATGCAGTACTAACTAAAACGTGGGTTTTTGGTAGGAAAATAATTAAAAATAGGTACATAAAATATTTTTTAAATGTATTTTATAAAAATTAATTCTTTTTTTTTATAAAAATAGCACAAAACACAAAATTCCGAATCTTATATACCCACCTTCAAACCATATTTGTGTCGAATTTAATCGCTGTATTTTTAATTCAGTTATTTCTCGTTATTTCTCGAAGTTCATCGCTATACTCGTATTTTTAAGCGAGTAATGAGCGTTGAAGTAATTTTCTTAAGGGGCCTGATATGGAGGGTAAGGTCAATTATGGACCGATTCCCATAAAATTTGTTAGAGATTTCGGTTAGTATAGAACATGTTTGTATCGAATTTCATCGGCGTACTCGTATTGTTAAGCGAGTATTGAGCGTTAAAGTCATTATCTGAAGGAAGGACATAGCTACATCGAACTAAAATTTTAATAAGAACCCAGAATGTGTTACAGTTTTGGGTATAAAAGCACCGCTTAAAACAACGGTATAGTTTTTTGCTACAACTTAGGTTATTTGTTATTTTTGATAAATGTCATTTCATCTTCATTTAAATAATAATATTTTTATTAGTTCGTTAAACAGAGTACAAAAAACAAGTTTTGTTCGTTATTTAAGGTAGTCAATAGGAAAAATTAGCTTGTTCGTTAAATGCGATGTTCGTAGAATTGAATGGTCGTTAAATCGGAAAACTACTGTATTATTTTTTTTTAATTTATTTTTTTGTTTATTATATATCAATTGATAAGAGTATTTTTTTTATAAAGAAACCATTTATGGTTAACAATGAAAATATGTATGTACTAGGGAAAAGAATTAGTGATGTCACGGCATGGATTTTGGCATTCAGCAATTTTCTTTCTTAAATTTGAAAAAAATCTGCATTTGATGCCATATAATTTAGTTGAGACGATGTACACATCTAAATTTGGATTGAAAAATTCGATTGAAATTTGGAAAAAAAAAAATCTTCCCATACCGGGAATCGAACCCGGGCCTTCTGGGTGAAAGCCAGATATCCTAGCCACTAGACCATATGGGATATAGTAGCATAAGCGATCAAAACAGTAAAACTATTTCTATATAAAACAACTTTAATTGAGAATAATATACAAAGTTGCCAAATTTCGATTGCTATTTATTACTTAGAAGTCTCGAATATTATTTTTTCCAAATTTTATACAAGTTGTTCGGTTTAAAAAATTTTGAAAATTATCATATATATTTTTATATTCATAGCCAAAGTTTCTTTAAATATTTCCAAATTTTTAATTATAAATGTTTAAGAAATATATATTAAAATTAAGAAAAAAAAAAACTTCCCATACCGGGAATCGAACCCGGGCCTTCTGGGTGAAAGCCAGATATCCTAGCCACTAGACCATATGGGATATAGGAGAATCTATAGGAATAATTTCATAATTTTAAATATTTTGATTATCATTACATAACTTTTGTAAGACCAACTAATATCAAATAATATACTAACGATCTGCAGAGATCTTTTCCATACCATGTGAACACTACTATAGAATTTTAACAAATTTCCATCACAATTTTTATTTAAGTGATATTTTCCCATTTATTTCAATGAAATTCCGAAAATATAAAAAAAACTTCCTATACCGGGAATCGAACCCGGGCCTTCTGGGTGAAAGCCAGATATCCTAGCCACTAGACCATATGGGATATAGAAAATCTTTTAGTTAAAGTAGATCTTTTAAGTAAAAGTCCTTAGAATAAAAAGTTTACACTGTTGCCAAATTTCATATACTTCATCGCTTTTTTACGATATCCTTTTAAAATATCTCAATGATCAAAACTTTCTCAAGAAATTTTTTATTAAATGTTAATGAAGTTTGATTCTGATAACACTTTTGATGCTGATCCATAATTAATGTATATCATCTAGGGATTTATAATATTCAGTTAATAATTAAAAAAAATCTTCCCATACCGGGAATCGAACCCGGGCCTTCTGGGTGAAAGCCAGATATCCTAGCCACTAGACCATATGGGATATGAGTATGTGTCCTCATAATTTTGTTTAATTATAAAATACAACATTTAAGCAGAAATCTTAACATATGAAATCATACATTGTTGACAAATTTCACTTGTATTTTGCTGTCACGTTTAAAGAACATTAATATTTAATATTCTTCTCCTATTTTAGAAAACATAATGTATAATACAAATCTAACTTTATAGATTTAATTTTAATATTGAATACAATTGATTGAAGTTTAAAAAAATCTTCCCATACCGGGAATCGAACCCGGGCCTTCTGGGTGAAAGCCAGATATCCTAGCCACTAGACCATATGGGATATGGAAAACTATGAAAATCAAAATATTTGGATAATAATTTTGTGAAATTGTGGACCTGTTCGGAAATGCATTAATGCGCTGCATTTGATGCCCCCAGATATTAAGAAATAACATGAATGTATGATTCTGTCTATTCATAAAATGGACATCAGGTTATTTACAGCAGCACCCCAAACGAATCATCAGATATTCGTTTGGGATTTCTGAACCATATAACTTGTAACAGCAATCAAAGTTTAATTATACAGTTATGATTTACTTCAAAATTTCTCAACATAAAGGTTTCTAAGTTTAAAATATTTCTATTTGAAAGAGAACAGTACAAACGAATTGTATAAACTTACAATTTCATAACGATCACCATGTAACGGAAATTATTGAAATTTAAACTTTCTGCTATTCGGTAATTTAAAAAAAAATACTTCCCATACCGGGAATCGAACCCGGGCCTTCTGGGTGAAAGCCAGATATCCTAGCCACTAGACCATATGGGATATATGCTTACATAACAATATGATAAATCATTAAGAAAAACCTTTGACCTAAGAAGATCACTAAATGCATTAAGATGTTGGTTCATAAATTAAATTGTTATTAATAAAACATTTTGGAACATAATCTAATAAAAAATGCATAAAAACAAAAAAAATCTATCTGTGTGACCTTAAAATCAAAAATAAATCATATATTTATAACACTAGAAGTAATGCACACAAAGCTTTTTAAACTGATACTGGGGAATTATGTACTACATGTCGACAAAGTATTTTTTTGCTTTGTTTAAAATTATATAAAAAAGTTGCTCTACAACAAAGACCTGTTTACTACGATAATTCAATTTAGGGGCTTTCCCTTATAACCGTAGTAATACAATAACAAACTGAGAGATAATAAACTGATCTTTTATTTTTTACAAATGCACTTTCAGTCCGCTTTACACCATCGTCAAATAACGTTGTCATTTACCATGAAACCTTCTCTTAAAGGTGTCTGTGCCAAGTGTTTGTTTAACATTCGCAGATCATTTGTTACCTGTAACAATTGTCACCTGAAATTTCATACTATTTGTTGTGGCATTGAAGATGCTGGTGTTATCGATATTCTAGAACAAAAGAAAAATATTGTTTATAATTGTGAAAATTGTTTGGATCCCAAGCGAGATTTGTCTTATCAAGTTGAAATTTTAAAGCATGATATTCAAGAGTTAAAACTAATGATTCAGAAAGTTTTATGGGTTACAAGTTTGAAACAAGTTAAGGTTTTAAGTAAAAAGAATTTTAAACGGATAACGGCTAATTTGGCGGATATGTGTAATGGTAAGAGAAATCAACTGCAATAAACATTATATAGTGGAACTTGCATAATATTCGATCGGGCCGCATTATTTTTGGAATTTTAAGACATTCATACCATAGTAATCGGTTAAAATCTCTATATAAGAAGATTTAATCTATAAGCTTGTCTTATAATCAAACTACTACTCGTGATTTTTAGAATAATTTAGAATTTTGATAGACATACCGTTTCAAGCCCAACAGAGAATCCAAACGAGAGTGATAGAAATCGGTTCAGGGTCTCAACCGCCCCCTGCAAGAAAAAAAACAGAAAAATTTTGAAATTAGTTTAAATAAAAAATGTTTAAAAAGCTTTGAGACATTTTTTTTGTATGAATTTTTAATTTGTTATATTCTTAAAATCTAGTTTTTATTAAAAAAGGATTTCGACAGGTATTTATATTATAAAAACAACGTTTTTTAAAATGTGTTAAACTTTTTTATGCTTTTGAATTATTAATAACTTTTTTATTTTATTTTTTTTATTATTTTTAATATTTATTTAATTTCGAGTTTTATATATAAATTTTCTTATTTTACTTGTTTTAAATTTAATAATTTATTATTTTTAATATTATTTCCTTTTATTTTTTTATTCCCACAACCAATATGTACTCATGCTCAAAATTAAACAAATTTTTCCTTGTAAACTAATCCTCAATTCCTTGATTTTGGCATTGTTTTTCCTCAATTAACAGCAACCCTGGCAACAATCCAATCCAAATTCATTCATTCCCGCAAATAGCAAAGAAATATTCATATTGTTCTTGTTAATTTAAGTTTAATTAAGAACTTCACTAATTAGTTTTTTTTGTGTGTATGTGTGTTTCCCTTAGATTCCAATAAAAGTTCATTAAGTGTTGATGGTCAAAAGAAAGTACCGGACAAGGGACCTGTCATGTTGTTGTATGAACTATTCACTGATGTACATTTCGAATGCTCAACCATAGATGGAGCTCAGAATAATTGTCGTTTTAAGATGACAGTAACGGTCAATAATAGTAAATTTGATGGAACTGGTGAGTATTTTATCATCATTTTGTTAGAAATATTTTTTTTCCACGGAAGTCAAGTTTTCAGTCTCAAAAATGAAGAGAAAATCTTTTAAAACTCTTAAAATAATAGTCCAATTCACAGTCGGCGTCGTAGCATAACAGTTTTCTAAACAAAACAACTGTTCATAATCGGTGTTGTATGGTTGTATCGTAGTATTTCGTAATTATACCCTACACCACTATAGTAGGGATGTTTGTAACGCATAAAAATATTGGTCCTACATCCATCTTAAAGTATACCGATCGACTCAGAATCGCTTTCTGAGTCGAATGAGACATGTCCGTCCATCCGTCCGGCTGGCTGGTTGTCCATGTAAACCTTATGCTCAAGCTACAGGTCACATTTTCCAAGATATTTGGATAAAATTTGGAACATATGAGTTTTTCGGCACAGGGACAATGCCTATTGAAAATGGTTGAAATCGGTACATTATTTCACCTAGCCCCCATACAACCTGACTTTCCGATTTTGGGTTTTTAACACATAACTATGTCCAATATACTACTTTCACACCAAAAATTGGCACAACTAAGTTTTATATAACCATGCCAATTTTTATAAAGATCGGCCTTCGTTTCACCCTAGTCCCCATACAAACCCCCCTTAAAAAATATCTTAAACGTCCAAAAATTTACTTATAACCATTAGTATCGCGATGAAATTTAGCATAACTAACCTTTATATAAAATTACATACCTCTTTCCAATTTTTTGAGGATCGGCCCATATTTGACCCTAGCTCCCATATAAAGCTTCATTTAGAAATTTAGTTTTTCATCAATAAATTGCTTAAATACATCGAGATTAAGGTAAAATTTAACAAATTTTTTATGAAATATAAATAACTTTAAAAATTTGCCCATGGTGTAGGGTATCATATAGTCGGCCATGTCCGACTATACTTATTGATTTGTTTTTGTTGTAAAAATTTGTATTTCAAAATATTTTATGACTTACAATGATACGAAATCCATTGTGAATTGAACAAATATTAAAAATTACGACATACAACAATAGCATGCTACCACACCGATTGTGAGCTGGACAAATGTTTAGTTTATTATTACAAAAATTGATGAAAGTTGCAATTTTTCTTCAAATATACTAGACCACTATATATGTTTGTGTTGATGTTTAGATTTAATATCAAACTCTTTATAAAACCCTTAGAATATTGTAGTTTTTAAAAACTTTATGCAATACTTTTGAATTCCAATGTTTATTTTTGTGATCCAGCAATTTGTTTATTTTAATAAAAATTATTTGCTTTACTCTACTTCCACAATAAAGAAGTTTCAAATTACAATCATAGAAAATACTCACAAAATATACAATAAATAATAATTTAACCATTCAGTATTTAAATAAAACTCTAAACAATCGCACGTAATTTGTTGAAACGAACATGTCTGAAGATCAAAATATCGCTTCTGTTATACGTCTCTTTCTTAACTCCACGGAATTATTTGATCCTTACACCAATGATTTCCAACAGTATATACAACGTTTAAATCATTTATTCAATATTAATAATATAACTGAAGATGCCAAGAAAATCTCTTTTCTGATCAGTATGGCCAATACGAAATTCTATCAAATCTTAATGGATCTTTTAAAACCCCAAACGGAACTGGATTTTACATATGCCTCATTGGTGGAAAAATTGCAAAATCATTTCAAAGCTCACAACTATCGTCTTTATAAAGATATGGAATTTTTTCAATACAAACAAAAATCCTGTAAAAATTTGCAGTCATTTGGAGTATCTTTGAAATCTTTGGCTTTACAGTGTCAGTTTGATGATCGCATTTTATTAATACAATTTCTTAATGGTTTGCAAAATGCTGATATGCGAAAATATTTAATAGAAAATCATAATCTCCAAAGTTTTGATCAAGCATTTCAATTGGCTTTGCAAAAGGAAAAAAATGTTTTTCGTTGTTATTTCTGTGGCAAAGCCAATCATATGAAAAGAAATTGTAAGAAAAGACAATTTATTTGAATTTAAAAAAATAATGTAAAGAATTGCTCTTTTTTAAATAAAACGTTTTACTCAAATTTGAGTTGAAAAAAAAATGTTTTGATCTTGTTTTGCTTTTTCCAAAAGTTTTGTGCTAAAAGTTTTTAAAAATAAAAATTTAAGTTTTTAACTTCGTTTTAATGTTTTTTTATATAGAAACTTCGCAAATAGCAGCTTTAATATATAAATATAACAAAAGCTTACAACAGTTTAATTTCCAAAACATTTTAAGCTTAATTTGTTTGCTTATAACATTGTTTAATTAGAAGTTCTGGCTGTCAGCAAATCTTAAGCTTTGACGTTACAACTTTTTAAAACATTTAAACCCCCTTTAAAATGTAATGAATGCATTTTGAGTAATTAAAGATTTTAGAAAGCTTTCAAAGCTTTTGTTACAGAAATCGTAAAAGCTTTGTAAAATTAATGATCTGCAATATTTCTTTGTTTCAATGAGTATAAAACTTTGACTTTTTTAATGCAAAAATTTGTGTGTTTTAAAATATTTCTTCCAAAAATCTAAAATCTATTTCTCTTTCTTTCCAGGTCCCTCAAAAAAATTAGCCAAAAATGCTGCCGCTAAAGCAGCTCTTGCTTCGCTGTGCAATATCTCCTACAGCCCTATGATGCATCCACAGAAGAGTTTACCCTTGCCCATGGATGATAAGTCAGCTTCTATGGAACTACCACAAATACATGCCGATACCATAGGACGTTTGGTATTGGAGAAATTTATGGAAGTGATTAAGGGTCAGGAATCGTATTCGCGTCGTAAAGTTTTGGCCGGCATAGTAATGACAGAAAATATGAATTTCAATGAGGCTCAAGTAAGTTAAAGAGAATGAAAGAAAAAGTAATTAAAAACCAAAAAAAAAAAAAAAAAAAAATATCAGAATCCGTCGATAGTGGAACTAAGGAAATGCATTTGAACGGAAATATTTAGATATAAAAAGTATCGTGGCTTTAGTAGCGAATAACGCTTTGACTGTGAGGCTAAAAAAGCTTAGACTATATGTACATATATATTTGTTTATAGACTATTTTTTAACCATTGAAAGGCAAATGGGCTTTATTAAGTTTCTGATAACTCTTATGCCTGTTGAGACTAGACTATAGACTAGACCAATGTTGCCCAAAATCGCGATTCCCTATCACGCGAGATAGGGCAAGATATTTCTGCTGACGTTGCGTTGACTCACCTACACTATAAGCTTACTTGTGTATTTTCTTATTTGAGCATGTGTTAGTTGATTATCTCTCAACTTGCAAAACAAAATCAACTCAGTTGCTGATCAGCATTTGTCGAAGTAAGATCTGTATGCAACTTTTTTAAAATCCACACAGAAATACAACAACAAAATTTTGAGAAAGCCGAATTTATGTAGATGAATGAGAGAGCACAGCTGATAGTTTTTTATATATGAACTTTAATATACGCTGTCCGTCAAAATCCATAATATCAATTTGACAGTTAGAATATACTTTTTAGTTTGCAGTCATTTTATTAGTACAGTTTTATTTTAGGTTACATTTTGTTCTCTGCTGCTTTACCAATACAAATTAATGTGTAACAGTGTGTGTATGGGCAGCACTGGACTAGACTATAGACTAGACTATAGACTAGACTATAGACTAGACTATAGACTAGACTATAGACTAGACTAGACTATAGACTAGACTATAGACTAGACTATAGACTAGACTATAGACTAGACTATAGACTAGACTATAGACTAGACTATAGACTAGACTATAGACTAGACTATAGACTAGACTATAGACTAGACTATAGACTAGACTATAGACTAGACTATAGACTAGACTATAGACTAGACTATAGACTAGACTATAGACTAGACTATAGACTAGACTATAGACTAGACTATAGACTAGACTATAGACTAGACTATAGACTAGACTATAGACTAGACTATAGACTAGACTATAGACTAGACTATAGACTAGACTATAGACTAGACTATAGACTAGACTAGACTAGACTATAGACTAGACTATAGACTAGACTATAGACTAGACTATAGACTAGACTATAGACTAGACTATAGACTAGACTATAGACTAGACTATAGACTAGACTATAGACTAGACTATAGACTAGACTATAGACTAGACTATAGATTATACTATAGACTGGACTATAGACTAGACTAGACTATAGACTAGACTAGACTATAGACTAGACTATAGACTAGACTATAGACTAGACTAGGCTATAGACTAGACTAGACTATAGACTAGACTAGGCTATAGACTAGACTAGACTATAGACTAGACTATAGACTAGACTATAGACTGGACTATAGACTAGACTATAGAGTAGACTATAGACTAGACTATAGACTATACTATAGACTATACTATAGACTATACTATAGACTGGACTATAGACTGGACTATAGACTGGACTATAGACTGGACTATAGACTAGACTATAGACTAGACTATAGACTAGACTATAGACTAGACTATAGACTAGACTATAGACTAGACTATAGACTAGACTATAGACTAGACTATAGACTAGACTATAGACTAGACTATAGACTAGACTATAGACTAGACTATAGATTATACTATAGACTGGACTATAGACTAGACTGGACTATAGACTAGACTATAGACTAGACTATAGACTAGACTATAGACTAGACTATAGACTGGACTATAGACTAGACTATAGACTGGACTATAGACTAGACTATAGACTATACTATAGACTAGACTATACCATAGACTGGACTATAGACTAAACTATAGACTATACTCTAGACTAGACTATAGACTGGACTATAGACTAGACTATAGACTATACTATAGACTATACTATAGACTATACTATAGACTAGACTATAGACTGGACTATAGACTAGACTATAGACTAGACTATAGACTATACTATAGACTAGACTGTAGACTAGACTATAGACTAGACTGTAGACAATAGACTAGACTATAGACTAGACTGTAGACTAGACTATAGACTAGACTGTAGACTATAGACTAGACTATAGACTAGACTATAGACTAGACTATAGACTAGACTATAGACTAGACTATAGACTAGACTATAGACTAGACTATAGACTAGACTAGACTATAGACTAGACTATAGACTAGACTATAGACTAGACTATAGACTAGACTATAGACTAGACTATAGACTAGACTACACTATAGACTAGACTATAGACTAGACTATAGACCAGACTATAGACGAGACAATAGAATAGACTGTAGACTAGAATATAGACTAGACTATAGACTAAACTGTAGACTAGATTATAGACTATACTATAGTCTAGACTGAAGACTAGACTATAGAATAGGCCGTATCTCTTGTTCGATATAGATCTGCCATTGGATTCAATGAAACCTAAAATGATCTCAATGGATTAAATAGCATGTCCCTCCATCGACCGAGAAATTGGCATTAGCGCCAAGTTAGTTTGTTAACAAATCATTTTTTTTTTTTTTTTTTGGACCAATACTTGGGGAATGACCCCTACATATGTTGTGTATTGTGTTGTCACTTAGAAAATATCTTTTAAAAAATAACAAATAGATGTTTTAAAATATCTTTTAAAACATCTATTTGTTATTCAGGCAAAAGAATTTACATATTTTCTTTACATGATTTTTGCATTTTAATTAAACTCAACTTCAATATTCAAACTTTGAATATTCAGTATTTATAAATATATTATATATGGCCAGAAATCGGAGATACTGATAGTTTCTTCATATTATTTTAATTTGATTTAAAAATTTTTAGAAAATTTTCAATTTGTTACCCAAACATTTATTTAACTTTTATATACTTTTCTAGGTCATTTCCGTATCTACTGGTACTAAATGTGTCAGTGGTGAGCACATGAGCATTAATGGCACTGTCCTTAATGATTCACATGCTGAAATTGTATCACGTCGTTGTTTCATGAAATATTTGTATGCACAATTGGAACTACACTTTAATCAGGGTAAGTTAATCTTAATCTATGCAATAAAATTTATAGATAAAAATAAATTTAATAATTAATTAGCATATTGCAAGTGAAACAAAAAAAATCAACTTTAATAGTATTTTTAATTAATATAAATTTTCAAGAATTTGTTTTATGCTGCATGTTTTCCTATTTTTCCACAATTTAGTGTAAAATTTTTCTAACCCGAAAATCATTTTAGATTCATTTTCAAAAAAATCCCCAAACATTGTGTATGTAACTGAATATTTTGTTTTCAAATTGCTTGTGTGTATTTTATGATGTTAATGATTATTATTTTTTTAATTATTTATTGAAATTAGTTCATAATTGGTTAATGCTTTTGGTTTTTTATTATTTTTGAATTTTTATCTAAATGTTGTGATCATATTTTTCATCATTATCATTATAATTATTATTTCTTTATGTGTTTAACTATTCTTGTAAATAATTTTCTTTGGTGTGTCTGGTATATTATTTTGGCTTGAAAACTGGCTCTTATTTCTTCAAATCTTTCAGCTAATTTAAAATCACTATCGATTATTTCTTTATCTAACGAACTGCAAAGAAATTTGATTTAAGTATTGAACTTTTGTAAAAACTTTCAGTGGAATTACTCTCAAAACTGAACGATCTGCTTCATATGTAAAATCTTAACAGTTAGCCTTGGTCTGATCCCGTCCCCTATGGTGGGATGACATTTTTGTAAATTTCTTTTTGCTTGGAGAAGATTTTTATCTGAATTTGGTATAAACAAGTTTTAGAAAAAAATCTTCCCATACCGGGAATCGAACCCGGGCCTTCTGGGTGAAAGCCAGATATCCTAGCCACTAGACCATATGGGATATAGAAATCTATATGATCAATGACATTTAATAAAAGTAAAGCTACACTGTTGCCAAGTTTCACCTACATATATCCTTTTAAAAATTTAACTCAAATTCATTTTTATAAATATTTTGATCCAGGATATTCCATCAACTGATCTAAATAGCTTCTAATAAAAATAATATCTAAAATTCGATTCTTAAAGCAATGCCAACTAAAAAAACCTTCCCATACCGGGAATCGAACCCGGGCCTTCTGGGTGAAAGCCAGATATCCTAGCCACTAGACCATATGGGATATACAAATTCCTCGACTTCACAAACTTCAAAATAATAATTACGACTACGGAGTTGTAAGTAGTTGCCAAATTTCACTTCTATTTTTCATAAAATTCGAACAAGTTCTATTCAGACCAATATCCGAAACTAATTCAAACTTTTTTAATGTACATGACGATTTTTCGGTACTTGTTCAAAGTTCTCTAGAATACTATCTAATATCTGATTCTGACAACAAAGTCAAACAAATTCATGATATTTTATACAAATAGTGAGAATAATAAACAATTTGTATTCTTGAAATATGCATTTAAAAAAAAACTTCCCATACCGGGAATCGAACCCGGGCCTTCTGGGTGAAAGCCAGATATCCTAGCCACTAGACCATATGGGATATAAAATACTTGGAAGTATTTTTTCTATTGATTATTGAATATATATAGTATAAGATCAGATCCAAGGAGGGAAGATTCTCTTTTAAATCAAAAACTAGTTTTATTATCAATCGTTATAAAATGTTTTCGAATGCATGTTTTTATGTATTCATGTTTAAGCAGTATTCGTTATACCCAGCTTCGACTGTAGTTTTGATTTTACTTGTTTTTAATCCTAAGATTCTCAATTCTAACCAATTAACCTATTTAATTAATAAAAAACTTTCCCATACCGGGAATCGAACCCGGGCCTTCTGGGTGAAAGCCAGATATCCTAGCCACTAGACCATATGGGATATAGAAAATATTAAAGACACCTTTTCTTTTTGATTTTATTATATTTTATGTTTTTTATAAAAAAACCAAAGAAAAATGCATGATTGTTAGATGTGTGTTTCAAAAAAAAAAAAAAAAAAATATGTGAAAATAAAAAATTTATTTCAAAGTGATTATCAACATAAATTATTTCAGAATTTATTACACATTTTATAACAAAATTATATTTAATTATTGATGTGATTATTAAACTCAAAACATAATTTAAACAAAGTGAATTATAACAACAATACATGTGTTTTTAAAAGTGTTAAATGAAGGTAAACGCACAATAATAAAAAATAACTTCCCATACCGGGAATCGAACCCGGGCCTTCTGGGTGAAAGCCAGATATCCTAGCCACTAGACCATATGGGATATAAGCAAAACTGAGTGTATGATCAAAATTGCAGCATCTTTTTAAAAACCATCTTATATATTCTTTTAATATTTTGTTAACCAGCATCTTTTCATTTGTTCTTACTAAAATCCACTAGCTAAAAAAATATTGTTGCCCCAAAACTGTTTTTGAGTTTTTATAAAAATTAAAATTTTCATCTCAAGTACTTTCTTTTTTTCATTTTATTTAGTAGATTCTTCTTTTTTTATATAATGAAATTATATATTTATCAAAATTAACACGTACATATTATTAATTAATCAAATTACTTTAAAAAAAGTGAAAAACAATTATAATTAACACCCTCCTACAGATTTTTTTCGTTTGTTTTTGAAACATTCTCTTTACAAACTATTTTTTTAAAAAAAGAAATGTAACCGCCAGCAGAAAACCATGACATTAATAAAAACAAAAATTTATTTTATTTATTTTTATAGCAACAGCAAATCAGTCAATTTTCGTGAGGAACCAAGAAAATGCGCAATACCCGTACAAATTGAAAACCGGTGTACATTTTCATCTGTACATTAACACAGCGCCTTGTGGGGATGCTCGCATTTTTAGTCCCCACGAAAATGACTCGAGTGTTGATAAACACCCAAATAGGTAAAAAATTAATATCTTTGATATATTCTTTTTTTTATATAATAATTTTCCTTGTTTTTTTTATTAAATATATAAAAAAATCAATTTTTACATACATAAAAAAAGTAAATTTTGTCTTAAAAAAAATTTAAAAAGATAATTTACCAATAATTTCTTTTGTAGAACAAGTAGAGTAAAAAACAATAACAAAAAAAGAACAATTTTTGGAACTGAAATTTTCAAAAACCAAAGTATTTAAAAATGAATGAAAACATATGAGAAAAAGAAAATGTATAAGAAAGAAAACCAAAAAAAAAAAAAAGAAACTTCCCATACCGGGAATCGAACCCGGGCCTTCTGGGTGAAAGCCAGATATCCTAGCCACTAGACCATATGGGATATTGACAGTTTAATGGCTGAATTCAACCCGCTGTCTGCATACACACAAATAAAATTTATTTTTAAATACTTGAATTTTTGAAAATTCTCAAAAATTAATTTTAGTTTAATTAATTATTCCAATTAATTATTTTTGTTTGATAATAATTTCCAAAAGACAACAAACCCAATGTTTTTAAAGACAAAAACAAAATTTTAATTAAAAATTAACTTAAAAAACGTGTTTTCTCTTTTCTATCTCTCTCTCTTTTTATAATTTTGTTCTCTTTTTCTAATTTGTTTGTTGTTTTCTTAATAACAAACAACAACTATTTATATATTTTTTTCTTTTACGCGCTCTTTCTTCCAATATTTTTCTGCTACTTTGTCTATGTTTGAAAACATTGTGGTTGTAAATTCAATTTAATTCTTTCATTTATTTTATTTATTTTTATTGTTGTTGTCTTTATTTCGTTTTTATTGTAAAATCATTACAATTCCTTACTCTCTTTTACTCTACTACTACAACTACAAATTCATATTTTACTTATTGTTGCTGTAAAAATGTTTTTTCGTTTTTTTTTTTTTTTTGTTTTTTCTAACACAAAAAATTTTTTTTAACCCAATAATTTTTATATGTATTGACAAAAAAATCCAATTTGAACAAAAAAAAATTAAACAAATTCAAACTCTAAAACAAACACCACTACTACTTCACTCCTGCTACTCCAACTACCGTTATCGAAATATATAGAAAAGCCCGTGGTCAATTGCGTACAAAGATTGAGTCTGGTGAGGGCACTATACCCGTTAAGAGTAGTGATGGTATACAAACCTGGGATGGTGTTTTGGAGGTAAGTTTTTTTTAAACTTTTTCTATTTTATTTATTTAATAGTTTTAAGTATATTGTTTAACAATTTTCGGAAGTTCTGATAAATTTTGTTCTAATTTTTATTAAAAAAATTACTTCCCATACCGGGAATCGAACCCGGGCCTTCTGGGTGAAAGCCAGATTTCCTAGCCACTAGACTATATGGGATACCAATTTATATCTAGCCAGATTCTGACGACAAGAACATTAACCTTTTTACACCATTGTCTAATAAAATTGGAATAAATTTGATGACTAATGTTGTTCTTTACACAAACCAGTTCTAACATTTTCAACCACTGGGTGAATACCATGCGTCGACCTCTTGCCCAATCTGCCACAAAGCCGTGGCAGGAAGGGCAAAAGATACAAATTCGAAGACATGCTTCAGGATCGGAGATTATCTAAACTCCTAAATGCCTTTCTATGGGTCAGGCATCCGGTTGCAATGTAACTCCACACCGAGCTTACCACAGCCACCACGTTACTGCCCGAAGGTCCTCACCAACTACCAAGGCTGAAAACGATGATCCAGGGGCTCCTGGATGCCGTGGTACGAGATTATAGACTCCGGTTGGTCTTCGTACACAGACCGACTCCAGTTAGATCCAAGAAGACCCGGGACTGGTAACCCCCCATACGACACATTCACACAACAACATACACACACTTCGTCAGTCAACGTCGAATCTCCCCACCGGAAATTAGGTAGTCTAACTATCCCCAATAATATTGATATATTCGAAATTATCCAATCCAAATTTTTAATAATAAAAAAATCTTCCCATACCGGGAATCGAACCCGGGCCTTCTGGGTGAAAGCCAGATATCCTAGCCACTAGACCATATGGGATATAAAAAATTATTGACTTCTCAAACTTCAAAATAGTAATTTCGACTATGGAGTTGTAAGTAGTTGCCAAATTTCACTTCACATTTTCTTAAAATTCGACCAAGTTCTATTCAGACCAATATCCGAAACTAATTCAAACTTTTTGACGATTTTTCAATTGACAAATAAAGGATAAAACATTCTTACCAAAAAAAGCTTACACTGTTGGCAAATTGCACTTCCTAGTAAGTAATTGCATATTTAACGATATCATTTTCTTACAATCCTTTGTATATTGTAATTCGAATTAGAATTTCTGATATTCAATCCAAATACATGATTTTTAATCCCAAACTTTAACATAATAACTTTCTGTAGTTTAAAAACGACACTACCTAAAAAACCTTCCCATACCGGGAATCGAACCCGGGCCTTCTGGGTGAAAGCCAGATATCCTAGCCACTAGACCATATGGGATATATAAAAGGTTTGCGCTTAAAGATAATTTTATATAAACGGACATTGAATTCGAGAACTACATAATATATTAAAGAAAGTTTGCGATGTTGCCAAATTTCACTTTCTTCTATTTAACTGCTATTTTAACGATATCTTTTAATGATTTTGCAAAGTATGGCGCACATAAGTTTATAATTGGTCCTAACACCCATATAAGGTCCCCTCTAGAAAATAATATTAACGCTCTTTACGGCCTTAATAATATCAGTATAGCGATGAAATTCGACATAAACAAGTTTTGTAGAAACAATAATCTACCTATCTAATTTTATAAAGATATGAGACCCTTTTTCTAAAAATTTAAAAATTCCTAAAATTTAAATAGAAAACTTTATAAAAAAAAACTTCCCATACCGGGAATCGAACCCGGGCCTTCTGGGTGAAAGCCAGATATCCTAGCCACTAGACCATATGGGATATTGAAAACTCTCCAATTAAGAGTAGTTTTTTCGGGAAGCTGTATATAATATCACAACAGCAATGTTGCCAAATTTCACTTTTTTATCATAAAAGTAATTTAAATGTCATGAGGTAGCATTACTTGTCATCACCAAATAATTTAGAATGTTTTTAAGTAGAGATTATTTTTCAAATTTGAATAAATATAATTTGTATTTTTTAAAAGTAGTTGAAAAAAATATCTTCCCATACCGGGAATCGAACCCGGGCCTTCTGGGTGAAAGCCAGATATCCTAGCCACTAGACCATATGGGATACTTATGTAACTTGACTACAAATGTGTGTTAGAATCTCTCTAATCGAATTCTAAATTTAAAATCTTCAATTCTAGATATCAATTAATAATTTGTGTAAAATAATTTTGTGAATAATAAATCTGTTTTGAATAGATTGATAACTATGTATTTAAGAAGACGCATTAGCATTTTATCAACGTGTATAATTCCATTAATTTTAGATTTCTTGGAAGTCATTCAAAAGTTTACTTTTTAATAATTAAATGCAAGATAATAATGTCGAAAAGATTTCTTAGAATCAAAACCTCTTACAGTTTTTTTTTTTTTAGCTTAATAGCTTGTAACTAAAATTTATCAGAATTTAAACAGAAACTTGTTAAACAAATTAACAAATAACTAGCAAATTAAAAATATTAAAAATCTATCAAATCTATTTTACAAAAAAAATCCAAACGATTTATTTTATTAATAAAATTTCCTTTTTTTATACAAAAAAAAAAACCTAATTTATCAGGGTCATCGTCTACTCACCATGTCTTGTTCGGATAAAATAGCACGCTGGAATATAGTCGGCATCCAAGGATCTCTACTGTCCTCTATTATAGAACCAATCTATTTGCATTCCATAGTATTGGGCAGTCTTTTACATCCCGAGCATATGTATCGTGCTGTTTGCGGACGCATTGAAAAATCCATACAAGGTCTTCCACCACCCTATCATCTGAATAAGCCGCGCTTGGCCCAGCTCACCTCGTCGGAGCCGCGCAATCAGGCTAAGGCACCGAATTTCGGTATTAATTGGACAACCGGTGATACTGAGGTGGAAGTGGTGAATTCGTTGACCGGCAAAACGGTCAACAATCAAATATCGCGCATAACGAAACAAATGTTTTTCCGTAAATATGGAAGTCTGGTGAAGAATTTACCCGGCTTGCCGGAAAAGAAGATACAAACCGATTACGGGCAGACAAAGGCTAAAGTTAAAGATTATCAGGTGGAGATGAATTGGTTTTATTTATATATGATTTTCTTTTCTTTTTTTTCTTCTTATTTTTCAAAGCAAAAATAAATTGAAATATTTTTGTATTGAAGGTTTTTTTAATATTCTAGTTATTTATATACAATTTCTTAACTTTTAGATTGCCAAACGTGAACTATTTGCCGCTTTTAGACGTGAGGATTTGGGCAATTGGTTAAAGAAACCTCAAGAACAAGATGAATTTGCGCTTCCGGAATGACTGCTTAAATTTGAAGATTTAAACCAACAACAAGCAGCATTAAAATTAAATTTTGTTTTCCAATATCCAATACAATTGAAACTACAACATGAACAAGAGCAACAACAACAACAAGAAGATATACTAAAGCATACAATCAGGAACAGTAGCCCAGATGTTTTAATGTTAAAGATGATTTATTTCTTACAAATATTTCTTCTAATCATTAAAGTTATCTTATCAAAACAACAACAGCAACAACAAAAATATTTATTATTATTATTAAAAATTCAATTAGTATTTTGGATAATAACTTTATTATTATTACAATTACATTTAAACTTAAACTTAAAAAAAGTAAAACAAAATCAACAAAATTTAGTAGTAATTTTAACTATAAATTATTTATTACAATTACTACAACTGGCTTTTGTAGTTCAATATATAAATGCTAATAATTATTATAATACTAAAGAACAACCTCGTCCTTATCCTAAACCTAAACCAGGTCCAGGTCCTTTTCTTCAAACTCTAACAAATATTAAGGCAGTTGAATTTCTAATAAATGATGCTGTTAACAACAGATTCAACATCATTTTTCCACAAAAGACATTTTGCCTTGAACATTATATAATTATAAAGCATTTCATTATTTTGATTTTTTCAAAATTCTCTTTTACTCAACAACAGCAACAAAATATTATTATTATATTAATTAATATAAGAGAAATTTTTCTTGGCATTCAACAGAAAATTATAAAAAATTTCATAAAAACATTTTTAAAAGGTTCAAAAGGACCTTTGAAAAAATCTGCTGCTGCTGCCGCAAATTTAATGGCATTAAATAAATTGAGCTCTAGAATATTTCTAGAATAGAATGTAGCTAAGATGCTGGAACTAAGTAAAGCAAGTATTATGGCGTTTTAGTCCAAAAAAATAATAAAAAAAATCATAAAAAATACAAAAAAAACATAAATCAAACAATTCTAAAAAATAAATATAATAACAAATATTTAAAACATTATAAAAATACTACTTACACCTTTACATTAAACACATACACACACACACACTTACACTGTCAAATCTTAACATAATCATCTTTATATATAAACCATACATACAGAAAGTTTACTCTATATACATTTAAATAAATTAATAGACAGACATACATTACATACATACGTCTAGTTATACATAGAATAATTAAAAGTTTCAATTACAACTACATTACATATACATATAATAATTTATGTAATTTTTTTTATGTTTTTCTTTTTGTAATAATTTTATTTGTGTATTAATTTTTTTAAAATAAAACAAATCTCTACAACAATTTCAAATGTTTGATTAAAAAAATTAATCGAAAGATTAAAAAAAATTAATCGAATCGAATTTTTAAATTTTAAACATTTTTATTTATTAATTTTAAGTGATTTCCAAATGTATTTTCGAACAAAATAAAGGGAAAGGAAAATATCTTCGAATATAGCATACATTTTAGACTGATAATGATACGGGCTGATGCGGACAACATTATTTTAAGCTCGAAAAAGGATGTCCCATTTTCGAAAGTTTTAGTAAATCTATTTGTATTGTGAATATTGAACAAATATTTGATCTATGCACAAGTTTATTGAATTTCCTATGGGATAGTCTCTCGACTCTCTATGCGCTAGTCTCTTGACTAGTCTATGCGCTAGTAAATTGATTAATCTATGAGCTAGTCAATTGACTAATATAGGTACTCTCCTATGGACAAGTCTTTGGCCTAGTGTATTGACTTGTCTATAGACTAGTCTATCCGTGGACTAGTTTATGGGCTATCGACTAGTCTATTGACTAATCCATGGACTAGTCTACGCACTCGTCTATGGACTAGCATATTGTCTCGTCTACGGACTAGTCTATTAATTAATCTATGGTCTCGTTTATGGACTCATCTATGGACTAGTCTATTGAATCGTCTACGGATTAGTCTATTGACTCGTCTCAGACTAGTCTATTGACTCGTTTACGGACTAATCTTTGACTCGTCTATGGACTAGTTTAACGACTAAACTATGGACTAGTATATTGATAAGTCCATCGACTAGTTTATTGATCAATGCAGCAGACAAATCCATCGACTAGTCTATGGACTAGTCAGTAACTATTTTATGGACTAGTCATTGATTTGTATATAGTCTAGTCTATTGAGTAGCCTTTTGACTAGTCATATCCATGGACTAGTCTATGAACTAGTCTATTCACTCTATGAACTAGTTTAAAAACTAGTCTGCCGGACTAGGATAAGTCCATCGACTAGTCTATTGACTGATCAATTTAACAGACAAATCCATCGACTAGTCCATGGTCATTGAATAGTCTATTGACTAGACAAATCTATGGACTAGTCTATGAACTAGTCAATTGACTAATCTATGGACTCGTCTATGGTCTAGTCTATTTACTCTATGGACTAGTTTAAAAACTAGTCTAGCGGACTAAGATAAGTCCATCGACTAGTCTGTTGACTGATCAATTTAACAGACAAATCCATCTACTAGTCCATAGTCACTGAATAGTCTGTTGACTAGTCTATGGACTAGTCTATTGACTAGTCTATTGTCTAGGTTATTGACTAGTCTATTGTCTAGTCTATTGACTAGTCTATTGTCTAAACTATTGTCTAGGCTATTGACTAATCTATATTGACTTGTCTATTGTTTAGTCTATTGCCTTGCCTGTTGACTAGTATAGTGTCTCGTCTATTAACTATAATGTCTTTTAACTACTCTAAGGACTAGTCCATGGACAGGCCTTTTGGGCAAGTCTTTTGACTATACTATGGAGCAGACAAATCTACTGATTTATCTAGTCTATTGACTCATCTGTTCACTAGTCTATGAGACATTCTATGGACTAGTGTATTAACAAGTTCATGAGTTGGACTATTGACTTGTCGATTGACTATTCTATGCACTAGTCCATTGAAAAGCATTTGATTACTCATTGGACTATAATATATTGACTAGTCTACTGAATAGTGAACTCTAGGGAAAATTCCATTTAAATATTTTGCTAAATATTCCAATAAAATACAAAAAGATTTGATTCAAAAAAGTTTTAGATTTCCAAGTCCTTAATTTTTGAACTAAAATAAGAAAGTTTTTTTTCCCAATTTTACTTTTATCTCATGAAATTGTTGTAGAAGATTTTTCATTTATTTTTATGAAGAAACATTTTCATATTGAAAATAAACGTTTAGTCATATATATTTATAATTTATTTTTATTTTTTATATCTTTTTACTTTCTTTAATTTTTAGTAACCTTTAAATGTAAAATGTAATAATGTTCTAAAAACTGTGAAAAAAAAACTGAAATTTTAAATCTTTTCAGAACAGCTGTGTTTTTTTATGTTAAATTATTCTTTATTTTATTTTTTAATGTATTTTTGTCTTTAGTCATAAACAAAATTTTTTTGTTGTGTATTTAATTTGTAAGTTTTATATTTTATTTTGTTATTTAATAAAAAACATTAGTATGTGAATGAATAAAAAATCCTTTTGTTTTTGTATAATTTATAATGTGTTTTTGTTTTGATCGCCTTTAAATGTTTTAAATATTGGTTAAAAGTAAGAACATTTCACGCTGTGTTTCAACATTTTTTTCATAATAAATTTTGTTAGAAACTTTTGTAAGTCGTATATAGAACAATTTGAGTTTGCTAATCGGGGTTTGATTTTTTAATATGAAACTATAACATGCGAAGAATAAATCATGAAAAACTGTGGGATTATTGAGCAATTTTTTGAAAATTAGTTTAGTAAATTAGTGGAAAACTCAATCTGTAGGTGTATCATAAATCTAGAATCTCGGCTCTATTTCTGTTAGAAAGACAGTTAAAGCCTAGTCCAATCTCTGAATATCCAAATCATTCCGAAATCGGACTATGGACTAGTCTATTAACTAATCTATGATGAGGTTATTGATAAGTGTTTGTGCAAGTCCCTTTGCTGGCTAGAGTATTGAGTAGTCCATGCACTAATCTATTGGCTATTCTATGGACGATTAACTATTCTCTAAAGTAATCTATGTTCTAATTTATGTAGTAGTCTTCGTACTAGTTTCTGGAAAAATCTATACATTAATCTGTTGACTTATGTTTGGATTACTTATGAAAGTTTGAAATATGAAAAAGTAATTAATATGTATGTAGTGACCGTACTGCAATAGAATTCGATGTCAAAAACTACTGAAAAAAGTACAATAGTACCTAATTTTCCTTTCCTGATCTAGTAAACTCTCCATTCTTGATCTAGACTTGATCTATCATCTACTCTAATGTTATAAGATTCTACTAATTATATAATTTTACGGAACAATGTCCGGAAACCGAAGTTTTTGAATATCGTACTTTCATATTGCTCTGTATAAGGGTTTTTCCACCACACAAAAGGTCTAGGTGTATTTTAACATCAGCTGAAACTTTCCTATTAGTTTTCCTAATACATCGTCGGATATATCCCGAAATGGAAAAAGCGAATTCGAATCGAAATTAAATAATTACAATTAATTCAAAATTTTTTTTCGAAACTTGATTATTTTCTTGTGTTTTTATTATTTGGTTTTTGTTAGTGTTTTTTCTTATGTTTTAACAATCAAAATATAAACAAAACACTTAAATATTTATCACACAAAAAAGGCTTTAAAATGAAACATTTATTAACGAAATAATAGTAGACTTTATTTAAAACAATAAAAACAAACAAAAAAATAACTAAAAAATTAAAAGTATTAATTAGTAGCTTTTTAACAAAAATGTCTTCTCAAAATCAATAATTAATAGAAAAACCAGACCAAACTCACTCATACATGCATATGTACTTAAGAACACAAAAAAAAAAAGAAAATTACACAAAAACACACACCCACTCACAGCTCCCATAGAAAATTCAAAGAAAAACACTTTTTCCACACATTAACACAGGGACAGTTAGCTTAAGCTGCAGGTCTTAGATCGTTTAACAATAAAAATCGAAATAAAAAATTTTGCAAATTTTAAGACGTTCGTTTAAATTCAATTTATTTTAGATCTAAGACTTGGGCCTTTGGACAAAACCTTAACATCAATTATAATAAAAAAAGTTTATAACAAATTAACAAGAAAAAAATATATAAAAAAATTAAAAAAAAATAAATAAATTATAAATTTGATCTTATATAAAATACTGTGATACTAAATTTTACTAGTACTTCCAGCATAGCTGCATTTTATCCATTCTAAAATATTCTGAAAATGCTAAAAGAAAAATGAACAACAACAACAATACAAACAAATTAATTAATTAAAAATAAAGAAAACATAATTTAAAAAGAAACGTTATAATCAAGTTTAAACAACAAATACAATAGAATAGTTTAGTTATTAGAAATTTTTTGAAAAAAAAAAAAAAATATTTAAAAACAAAATACAACAATATTTAACAATACTTAATAATAAAACATATTATAATTTTGAAAACAAATAACAAAAACAAAATAATAATTAAAGGATTAATACAATACCACAAATAAAGTTTGGTTTCTTTTAGAATGAAAATAATTAAACAAAAGCAAGCAATATATAACTCTTTTTTTTGGAAAAAATATTAATTAAACATATTTATAAGTTAAAGAAATTAGAAATGAAAATTTAAAAAAATATATATAAAAAATATAAATTAAAAACAGAAGGGAATAGCTAAAAAGTTTCCAAGAAAAAAAAACACAAAATAATAATAAAAAACACAGTAACATTTCAATGAAAATAAAAAGAAATTAAAGCTTTGCAAATAAATTATAAATTCTAATAATATTTAAAACAAAAAGTACACTTACAAAAACAAAGCAGAAAAAAAAAACAAACACAGTCAATGAAATTACAACGTAAACTTAATAATCTATCAATAAAATATGTATGAACATTTTAAAGGAATCACCCAACTACAAGAAAATACACTCGCTCCCTTAATTACTTATAAAATCATAAAATCCTAGAAATTTTAATTCTTGTCTAGTTATTTCTGTCATTAGAATCTTATTAATTACACAGGCCGACAAAATTTGAAAAAAGTCGAAACTCTGAGATCAAGTTAAGCATTTGTAAAGGATTGAGCCGCGCTGAATTCGAACCAGGAGTTTTCTCAAATCCCAAATATGATGGAGAAAATCTAAGGTCAGATTCGTATTCATACTTTAGAAAGGCTATATTCGTATTCAATTGGGCTTAGTCTTTTAGTAAGGTATACTTTGGACTCTGGGTTAAACATTTGACGGCCTGTGTTATCTTTCGAATGGGAAAGGTTTTGAATTTGATTTTGTGCAAATTTCCACTACTTCTACAAATAACGTCTGTAGAAGTAATTTTAAACAAAAGAAATCAAATGATTTTAAAATAAAGTTTTTTTTTAGCAGATTCTTTATCTGTTGACCTTGGAATGATGGAGAATATTGAAATGAAGCCTCTATTTCATTTTAACTCCTAATAAGTTTATAGTTTTAAAAGGACTTTCAAATCATTCCTAATTAATATCTTTAAAACATTAACATCTGAAAAGTAAAATTTGAGACGAATATAAGGAGTGAGTCGGAAAAAAACTTATAGCGGCACTTCTTTCATTACACTCTTATACCACTACCTCCCTATTAGCCAGACAATGCAAGAGTGTTCTGTCTAGGTTGGGTTACTTGACCGACATTACTGTAGTATGTCTTCCAAGAGACCACTATGACAATGAACAATCAGACGAGCTAGCCAGGAATTGATCTGCTCTGGAGCAGTCCAATGCCGTCTTAGAAGAACTCCGTTGGGTTCTATCAAATGTTGTATCTTGGGGTTCTTTCTTCAAAAGGCCGAAAATAGGTGAATTAATCGGGACACATGGGTCAAGTTAATGAGGCCTTTTTTCAATGAGTAACGCACTAGGCAGCTTACATATATGCAGGATATATCAAGGCAGCGGGCAATAATAACTGGGTACTAGGCAGGTGTACAGGTTGCCTTGTTCTCCCCTTCAATGAATACTGTCGCAGTTCCAAGGACAGGGAAAAAGAATAAACGGTCTTCTATCTTTTCTGCGAATGCCCTGTTCTGGCCGCCTAGAGAAATATGTAATAGAATATCCAACCAGGATGAGACATCTGCGTCAAAACTTAATGACCACCTGAGATTTACCACTGATACAGACTCCCGATGCTGATGTATGTTCTATTACTATATAATTCTACATCCGATAAGTGGAATGGTCCTTTCTACTCTACATGACTGTTTACGAGCAGAAATTAATCAAACTTACCAGAACTTTGGCCTATGTAAAAAAGGTATTGGACTTTTGTAAAAAATAATTAAAGAAACAAAAAAAGTCTTCTCAAGACATGTCCAACATTAAGCTTCAGTGGACTACCTCGTCCAAAAATGCAATACAACTATAAAATCTTAAATGGGAGGATTTCACTATTTTAATGTTTAATTAAACTTTTATATATTTTTGACAATTTTACTATTAAACGGTTTAGGTATTATTTAACTCATTACGAATATAAGTTTAATTTCTGACACAGACATTATTCATTTAGATCTAAATTAGTCTAATGTATTTTAAAAACTTAAAAGTTTTCTCTGATTGAAAGTTTTGAAAAATGCATAAAAAAGTAAAAATGGTCCTTCGAGCCATACTTTAGCTTCCAACTAAACAGTTAAAAAAATACAACTTGCTTTTCAAATAAACTTTTCATAAAAAATATCAAATCTACTCAAATTTTAAGAAACAAATTAATAAAACAAATCAAACGCAAAAAATAAAAAGCAAAACCTTACTAAATACTTAATTTTCAGAACCCTCCCTCTCTAAAATTCTCTCTCTCTACAAACTCATCATTAATTAATTAATAAAACACTAATTATTATTAAACAAAAAGTTACAAAAACATAAAAAACAACAACAAAACAAATAATTAAAAGAAAAAAAAACTCTTGTAATACTCTAGAACTGTTGCTTATTTTAGATTTTTAATAAATTTCAAATATAATAAAAAAAGAAAGAAAAACAAAAATAAATAAAATTTAATTAATAAAATACAAATTATCTTAACGAATATTTATACTTAACAACCAAACCCCAGAAACAAATAAAGCAAATAAAAACAACAATATTAAACAATAACAATTTAAATCAATAATGAAAAATTTAATTTTTAATTAGACATTTTTGAAAATGATCAATAATAAAGTTTTGTTAAACTATAAACAATAAAAAAAGAAAAAGAAAAACAATTACAGCTCTAAATAATTAAATTAAATTCTATTCTGTATTGAAAAAAAAGAAAGCAAAAATGAAATTATATTTAAAAAAACAACTTTCTGAAATTTCTATTAACAATAACAATTTATAATCAACCAAAAACAAAACTTAAAACAAAAAGTTATTTATTATTATTCTCTCCTTCTCTCCCCCTTAATATAATGAATTATTTAAAAATTAAAAAAAAAAACAAACATTAAAAACAACAAATAATAATAAAGAAAAATCCAAGTAAATTTAGAATTTTAATTAAATGAAAAGAAACCGTTTAATAAAAATCATAATAAAACTCAAATCACTATAATTTTATTTAAACATTCTATAGTTTCCCAATTATACGATTTTTTGCATTTTTTTCATATGGGAGATGACTCGACAGCCATTTAAAGTTCAACAATTTATGTCCAAACGGTAATTTGAACTTTGATGTAACCTAGGGTTCTAAATTGTAGCTCTAATTGTTTCCCAGATATAAGAATTTTTATATTTAAATCATGTAGGAGGTAGAAGTGTTTCTAAGCCCCCATTTTTCCATAAATGGTCACATGGATGTTATCGTTTTTATCGTGCAAAATTGAAAATTTCTAGCTTTATTAGCCTCCCAGATAAACAAATTTTTGTATTCGCAACGCCACGCCCACTATTACTACTCTGCCAAATTATTACCCCTGGAAGATAAAGTTATTCTTGCAAAATTTGAAGATTCCATTTCAAATAGTTTCTCAGATATACCAATTTTAGCATTTAATTCATATGGGAGTTGCCACGCCCTCTATAGAAAGTCATGCCATTTGTTTGTCCTAAATATTCATCTTCAAACTAAAGTGGCTCTAGCCGTGATGGTATATCAGCGCTTTATTGAAGGTAAGTTTAATAATTATTTTACTTTATTTTTTCTTTAGTTCAATAAAAACAATAAATTTTTCTTCTCAATAATTTCAAATATAATGTAAATTATTGCTTTTAAGACAAAAATAGAACACACTATATCAAAAATGGAAAACAACTCCCTTTGGTGCTCGATAAACTTTAGGATTTGCTAATGTTTTAAATGCCTGCGCTGTATACGTCCACGAAACAAACGAAAATTGAAGCCCTTTTTGAATATGAGGATTTTTTTATAAAGTTGGGTTCAGTTACAATGATGGAAAATTTCAAGGGAATATTAATTGAAATAGAATATCGTCCTTGTCTGGTTTCGTTCTATTCTTGGGAAATGATACGTGAGGTGTTGCGAAGTTTTCTAGGAGTAACAGTACTCAAAGAATATCCCGCGTACTTTACAACTCAGCCTGTAGTCAATGCCATGGGTCAACAACATATTCACCCTAAACATAATGATATTTATGAGACCATCGATACCACAAATCAATAACCAAAACATTTGACCAACTATCGCGTTCCCACGACAATCAGTTCTTCACACCGGAACGACTCGGAGATCAACGAACAACGACCAAGGATTGTTAATCCAGCCACACCGGCTGCTACAACAACAACCAACTATCGCAAACTGAATGTTATGCCGCAATCACAGGTGGCTAATCAACAGGCAAATATGCCGCTTGATACCGGCATGAGAGTGGGTTAATTAGTATTTACTCAAAGTTTATACTTAGTGCTAATAAATTAAGTTAATTTAATAATAAAAATTTGAAATACCTATTTGGAAAAATGTTTTTTTTTTAATATTTATTAAACTTACCATTTATGCTGAAAACAGCCGGCAGCCTGTAGAAAAATAAGACGTAACTGGTATTAAAACACTCTGGAAACGTTTACATTCTTTCATCTAAAGTCTTTTCTTATTGTTTTAATGTTCCTGATTAACCGAAAAATTTACGAAACACAAACCGCACTTGTGTTTTAATTTTAAGACGCTTTTAAATTTGATCATGAAACTTTTAATTTATTGGTATTGGTTTATTCTATCATTATTTGCAAATTTATTATTTTACAGAGTAAACTATTTTACCATACCAATTTCACAATATGGCGGCATTACTTCTTAAAAGAGGAGACAGCAGGCAAATACATAGTTTCTTATAAAGTTATTGCAAGAAATTTTTCATATTTTTCTTTTATTTAAGAAATCATTTATTATTTGATCTTTTTTACTTATTGTATCAATTAATTGTTAATTTATTTAACTTATACTTGTCACTACATGTAATTAAAACTTGACAGAGATTTTTTGCCCTAATAGATACATAAAAAACTTATATGTTGCAACAGTTTTATTTAATTGATGTTTATTTACACATTTTCTGAAGTTTATAACTAATTTATTAACTTTTTATTTGTTTAAAAACACTTTATTCACTTTTGCTCTCCACCGCTTGCATATGTAAAAAGTTAATGAAGATGAACCGTTATAAGGCGCCATTATTTGCCAGATGCTTGTCAAATGTGATAGAATGCTACCAGATTAAATAAGCTGCGAAGTGATTGAAGGAAACTGCAATGTGGTAACATTAAGAAATACGATTTATATATAAAATTGGGGAAACTAGTTATTATTTTTTAACTTTTAACTTTTTATTTATATATTCAATATCATCACTATTCAGGAACCGATCGGGACAACATATATATCGTTTAAAAAGCTTTGAAATATCTTTACCACCCCATTTATTAACCCATTGAGAACCAATCCTACAAAAAGTATTTTTTATATACATACATAGTTTTTTAATAAAATTGTCGTTATTTCACAAATCCATCGATATAATAAATATTGAAAATATTATAGAAAAGATTTCAAGCTTTCATTTGATGTATGCATATAATATCTTAATAAATTGAGTTTTTATTTATATATAGTCTGGTATAAACTTTGTTCCCCTAAAAGAAAAACAACAACAATTAACTAATATCGAATAGAAAACATTAATTTTATATACTTTATCTTTATAAACTACAATATCATACCCATTTATTAAGATAAAAGTTTCTATATACACATCAAATGAAAGCTTGAAATCTTTTCTACAATTTTTTAATATTTATCGGTACTGTTACTTCGACGGATTTCTGAAATAACGGCACTATTATCGAAAAACTCTACTTAAAAAACTCTCCTTTGAAAAGGTATTCCAAAGCTCTTTCAAATGGTATATACATATATTGTCCGGATCGGATCATGAATAGAGAAGATATTGATAATAAATATAAAAACTTGAAATGTCTATAACACCAATCACAAATCATTAAATTAAAAGGTCTATAAGTGGTATTTTTTTTTCAAAATTGGAGAATTATATATATGAAGTGTATATATAAGCGGAAAACTATTGGCTGATAACTGATTTTTTTGAAAATTTTACAGTGTCTCCTATTTGTCTGGAAGGAACTAAATGTCGCGAGGTGCCATGCCCTCATACAAAATTATTATTAAGCTACAAATTTCTTCGTACAATTAAACAATTTTGTATACAAAACGTCTTTCTTAATGTTACCACACTGTAGTTTCCTTCAATCATTTCGCAGCTCGTTTAATCTGGTAGCATTCTACCACATTTGACAAGCATCTGGCAATTAATGGCGCGATATAACGGTTCATCTTCATTGAGTTTTTATATTTGCAAGCGATGGAGAGCAAAAGTGAAAAAAGTGTTTTTAAACAAATAATAAGTTAATAAATTAGTTATATACTTAAGAAAATATTTAAATAAACATTAATTAAATAAAAGCTATTGCAAAATATAAGTTTTGTATGTATTATAGCAAAAAATCACTCTGCCAGGTTTAATTACATATAGTGGAAAGTACATGTTAAATAAATCAACAATTAATTGCAATTTTAGTCAATAATAAGTGAAGAAGTTAAAATAATAAATTATTTCTTAAATAAAAGAAAAAAATAATAAAAATTTCTTTTAATAATTAAAAAAAAAATATTTGCCTGCCGTCTGCTCTTTTGCAAAGTAATGCCGCCATATTGTTAAAACTGTAAATAATGATAGAACAAACCGTCGTTAATAAAATAAAAAATTCGTGGTCAAATTTAAAGCGTCTTAAATAAAATTAAAACACAAGTGCGGTTTGTGTTTCGTAAATTTTTCGGGTAATCAGGAACATTAAAAAAATAAGAAAAAACTTTAGATTAAAGAATTTAAACGTCTCGCGAGTGTTTCAATCCCAGATATAACTTTTCAATAGCAGTTACGGGTTATTTTTCTACAGGCAGCCGGTCGTTTTATACATAAATGGTAAGTTTAATAAATATGTATTAAAAAACATTTTTCCAAATTGGTACTTTACATTTTTTTATTATTACAATGACTTAATTTATTAGCACTAAGTATAAACCGTTAGTAAAAACTAATTAACCCACCTGTTGATATGCTACCTGTGATTAAGTTATAACATTCTGCTTGCGATAGTTGGTAAAATGTTCTAGATATTGATTTAGGGTATCGATGGGCTCATATATGTATATCATTATGTTTACTATGAATTTGCTGTTGAACCCATGGCATTTGATCTGTATGAAACATGCACCGCCTTAAAGGCACCATGTTATGGGGTCGATATGTAGGTTTCACAATCCACTAGAAATTGACCAGTGTATACAGCCCCCAATGCGAGCAGTCTTTTGGTGAGATTATCTATGGCTTGGACACCAATTTTTCCTTTTGGTATTTGATAGGAATATAAAACAGTAACTTTCTATTTTCTTTTTTAAATAAAAGGTTTTAGAAATAACAAAAAGTTGGAGATATGACTTGTAAACAAATGCATAAAACAGCTGTGTTTTTAGTCTCCACATAGAGTTGTATTTGACAATAATTAAGAGAGTTACCAGATTTTTAGCTTTAGAAACAATAAGTTTTAAAAATTGTTAACGAATCGTATATAATATTCACGTTTCCACTGGGAAGTTTGAACAAATCTAGTTGATTTGGGCAACAACACTCACTACAGCCCCCTTGTGCTTCTTACACGCTGGTTGAAATTTTTAACATGGATCTACCGATCCATATGCAAACACTTTGCTTAAGCTAATCTATCTATCTGTAATTTCATTTTGGCAACTGACAACTCAACAGAGTTTCGATTGCTATCGATAATAGACCCATAAAGTTTATAGTAACAAAATATTATAATTATAATACTTTAAAGGTATAAAGTTATAGCAACTGTTAGTATACAGTCCACAATTGGAATGTGTTTTAGCGTATCCACACACCAGCTATAGCAAAAACTTAAACCATTCAGTATTATAGTAAAATAGAGTGTTACCATATGTTAATATTTTCTAAAAGTTTGCAGTTACAATACTCAAAAATGTTTCTTTTAAATTCGATTATAGCATCATCATTCGCATAGTATCATCTATAGCATAGTAGTCTGACACAAAATTCCAAATTCCTTTTAAGCCATTGCCATGTTAGAAGTTAATTGATAGAAATAAAATCGGAGTTTTAAACTTGAGTTAAAAATTTTGAAAATATACGAAACTAAGGTAAGAGATCTTATGTGGAATAAAAAATCCTATGTCTAGGAGCATACATTTTCTAAACTATCTAAAATTTTACATGTGAATTATGAAACTCGCTTTATAAAGCGCTAGTGGATACGATGTGTTCACAAAACAAACATTTTACCAAATTAAGAAGTTTAAGATGCACTGCTCTTAATATTGTAACTTATTCCCATTATTCTAAGTTATAAACCATCGAAGTAAATGACTTATGTCTTTGCTATTAACAGGACGTGTATACAAGTTTAATATGTTTTTTGTTCTTAATTTTTCGAACATTGAATCAAAATATAACAGTTATAACCAATGACTCTCAAACTTAAAAATATAACAAGTTACATGAGCGGTTATTTGAATCCTTTCAATAAAATAACATTGTGAAAATGAAAGTAGAGACTTATAGACTAAAATTTAGTTTTCAGTTTTTCCATATCGAATCAGGTTTCTTTATAAATGAACTTTTAAGTTTTCAAGGATATTGAAAAGTTAATATTGAAATTATATGATCATAATATGGGTATCAAATAAAATGTTAGAATCTTTGGCATAAATGCATATGTATTCAAAGTATTAGAAATTGGAAAATCAAAAATATTAGCAATTTCTAAAATCTCTCTTTACTGGAAATATTTTCCCAATAATACATCTATTCTTGATTATAAATGTCGATTTAAAGATAAAATTTTACACAAATGCATAGTGTTAGTTTAAACAGAAATCATAGGCATGGATATTTCTGCTAATTGGATCTCTCATAAGGGCAATTTTCGAACGTAACGTATAGATTTCCTTCGTACCTACACCACAATAGTGTGAAGGGTATTATGCGTTTGTGCTGATGTTGATAACTCCCAAAAATATTGGTCCGAAAAGTGTACCAGTCGGCTCAGAATCACTTTCTTAGTCGATTCAGTGTCCATCTATCCATCCGTCCGTTCGTCTGTTTGTGTGTCCATGTAAAGTTTGGGCGCACAATTTTAAAGATAATTTGGAAATGAAACGTACTCTTCATTTGGCCCAGGAACGAAGCTTAAATCCATCTAACAAAATTTATCCTTACTTGTTTAATAAGTAATTACAAAAATTGCATTTTATTTTTTAAAACT